TGTTTAAACTCAATTATCTCGAAATGAGATAAATGTAAAAATGGGCCCTTTTAATTGAAGACACCCCATATAATCTTAAGAACAATTATATTTTATTAAGATGTAGAAGTTTGTTTCACCGATAAAATTTAATAATAAGCTTTGGAATACTGTACTATCAACCACGAAGAATATTTAGAGAAAGCATGTATACAATAAAACCCAGCTGTAATTTATCGATATTTGAGAATGATAGACGAAGAGATATTGGATTCATTATTTATTTTATGCAAAGGAAATTAAAAGTCAAGATTTAATCGCTTATATATGTTGTGCCTCAGATTAATCCTTGCCTCAGGTGTCGATCGGCCTAAATTAGTGTTAGAGTTTGGGTAAGAATTAGGTTATAGTTTAGGCCAATTAATGTCGATCAGTTAATGTCGGCCAAATGATCAACATCTGAGGTGCCTCAGTTATCACCTGAGACCTGAGGCACAACATATATATACATTTTACTTAATTAAAGGATAAGACATAATGTCGTAATCACATGGACACATTATGTTGGACTTATCAGTAGCACACATGATGTTAAGGCCTATCGTATAGTCTGATATTGTCGCTGTCTTAATGATAATATGGGCAGTGGTGACGTTGACAATGTTTCCACCCTGGTCTTGGAGATCAAATATTGCTCATACAACAATAACAACAATAGTGGCGATAATAATGTAATAAAAAAATAATAAATAACAAATAATAGATGAAAATATGAGATAAAAATCCAATAGCGAAAAAAATGTCGATTTTTGCCACAAGAGGACATGTTAAAACGTAGATTTTTCCACAAGAGGACATGTTAAAATGTAGATTTTTGCCACAAGAGGACATGTTAAAATGTAGATTTTTGCCACAAGAGGACATGTTAAAATGTAGAGTTTTACCACAAGAGGACATGTTAAAATGTAGATTTTTACCACAAGAGGACGTGTTAAAATGTAGATTTTTACCCTAATAGGATCTGTTAAAATGTAGATTTTTACCCTAATAGGATGTGTTAGCATGTTACGTAGAACCAAGTCCCAAATAAGGTTTTACTTATTTGAGCCGGTAATACAATCTCCTAGAAAGGAACAGCCAATCAGTGAGTTCAAA